GCCGTGTCGCGCCGTGCAGCGCCGTGCCGCGCCGTGCCGTGGTCGGCCGGGCGCCTCTGCAGGCTGGCCCCCTGCGGCTGCCTGCGGGGCGGCAGCGGCGGGCGGGCTGCCGGGATGATCCGGTTCCGGAGCTCCAGCATCAGGTCGCTGAGCGCGGAGATGAAATGCACCGTGCGGCTGCTGGACGACTCCGAAATCTCCTGCCACATCCAGGTGCCGGCGCGGAAAGGGGCGGCGGCGGCGGGGCGGCTCGGGGGGCGGCGGCTCTGGGGGCCGGGTGCGGGCGTCGGCTCCGGAGCCGCGGGATCCGTCGGGCGCCGGCACCCCCGGCACGGCGTTCCCGCGGGCGAGAGCAGCGCTCCGGGCTGCGGCGGCCCGGGCGAGGAGGGAAATCCCGGCGGCGGCTTCCCTGTCCCGCGAGGGGGTAACGGGGCGCCCCGGACGGCACCGCAGGCTGCGGAGCCGATGTGCCGGTGGAGTTCGCTCCCCGACACCGGGAAAGCCCTGCCTTGTAAGCAAGGCCCGCGGCGTGCAGTGTCGGGAACCGCCGTTACCGAGATAGCGGGCTCAGAGTTCAAAATGAAGCTCTGCCCCCTCTTCCTCTTCATCTAAGACAAAAAATAACTTGGAGCAGGCTTTTCAGTGATAGTAGTTGCTGTGTGGTTGGGGGAAAAAAAAACCAACCAAAACCAAAAAACCAAAAAAAAAAAAAAAAAAAGAGCCAAAACCCAACTTCTCCGTAGTCCCTCTTCCTAATTACTTAGTCGCTCTTTTTATCCCTTCAAGTAATAAGGATAAAGATGCGAACACTGAGGAGTCTGTGCTTTTGTGGTGGAGCAGCAATGTTTGTAATGCGAGAAGGCAGGTGTATTTCAGGTGTTCTAACAGGAACAGTAACTCTGGTTGCACTATGGAAGAGTTACAGATTCTTACAGATTTAACTGCAAGCATTAAAATCAAGTTACCCTCTGAAATTTCCATAATGTTCAAAGAATAACAGAGACGAATTTGGCATCCAGATCAGAAGATGTGAGCAGCCTTTTAGGAAGTTGTTTGTCACTCACAGTTCTGTCTCTGACAGAAAGAACTACAGCTTTAAATCAAGTTGGTAATCTTGTACTAAGACCATTATGTCTGAAAAACTCCAAGTGCCATGAAATGCAAGTTCCATTTTTGCTGGGACCAAACGATGTTTTTTGTTAGTGCCTAGATCTATTTAACAGATCTATTTAACACCAGAATAGAGTAAGATAGTTCCAGTAGAAAAGGACCTAAAACAATTACCTAGTCCAACTGCTCCAGGGCTGACCAGAGCATAAAGCCTGTTACTGAGGGAATTGCCCAAGTGTCTCTTTTTAAGGCACTTGCAGGTTTGAGACATCAGTTCCAGGAAGCCTGCTCTAGTGTTTGACCATCTTCTTGGTAAATATGTGTTTCCTGATATCCGGTCTGAACCTCTCCAGGTGCATCTTTGAGCCATTCCTATTCCATGTTGCTGGATGCCAGGAACACACTCCCTCTCCAGGTCTGCTCCCCAGGGAGCTGTGCAGAGCAGTGAGGTCACCCCTGAGCCTCCTTCTCTCCAAACCAGACAAACCCAGAGCCCTCAGCCGCTCCTCACAGGATGTGCCTTCCAGCCCTTCCACCAGCTCTGCTGTCCTCCTCTGCACCGTTCCAGGACCTGCCCACCCTTCTCAGAGTGTGGGGCCCAGCGCTGCACACAGACCCAGGGTGAGGCCGCAGCAGGGCTGAATGCAGCAGGATGATCCCAATCACAGCTGGTGATGCTGTGTCTGATGCACCCCGGGATGGGTTTGCCCTCCTGGCTGCCCGGGCACACACTGCTGGCTCACCCTGAGCTGCTCTGACCAGCACCCCCAGATCCCTTTTGCAGGGCTGCCCTACACACACTCCTCTCCCAGTCCATGGTTGTGTACTAGTTACTCTCCAATGGCATGTAACCTGGAAGTAACAGGAAATTACTGAAAACATTTTGTACAAGTATCATTCTAGTGCTCACATTAATGAAGAGCATGGTTATAAGATTGAGTAAGAAGCAGCATGGCCTTCAGTCTTTTCTTGAGATTTAATGCAGGCTTTGCACAACTTATTTGGCACCTTTAAAAATTAGTCTCTTTAAACAATCATAAATTTAAGGTCAGATTCTGAGACGGTGTTATGACAGCTTTTTGGGTTTGAAGTATTCAACAGATTTACATTCAATGCCTACAGGGTAGAAAAAAAAGAGTTACTTTAACACTTTAGGTGTTATATTAGGCAAGCTGAAGCAATGAGCTCAGAAAAAGTTGTATGGTATTGCATTGTTGTGGCTTACTCTGCAGGCAGGAGAAAAATCACTGTTGAAAATATTTTAACTAATAGAGTTCTAAGGATAATTCTAAAGATTGAATTCTGTTATAATCTCATTTAGAGCTTGTTTTCCTGAGTCTGCACACTGACAAAAGCATTTAAAATGTGAGAATAGCTCAGATAATTTCTTTATCCTGCTGTGTACTCATAACTTTTTAGACACTAGAATGAATTAATGAATCCCAAACCACTCAACTTTTTGTCTTTAGTCTCTTTGTCAGACCTGTATTTGAACTTCATAATGTGGACAAAATTTGCTAGGAGCTTTAGCAATAGTAATTTTTTTTTTTTTTAAATGAAAGAAACTACCACTTGCCTGTTAGATCTATATGTGCATTTGATGCATGTTGACTGGGACAAAATAGCCCAGATGATGTGCTGCTGGGTTAACAGTAGAGATGCCAGAGTTGTGCTGGTTGGAACATGTTGGACAGCTGTGTTTTGGTCATTAAGAGGATAAGAAATCCTAATTCTGCAACACAGAGAAATGCCATCAGAGTCTCCTAGGGACACAGGATGCAGTAAGGAATGTGACAACTGAAATTCTTGCTGTGCATTTTCAGGGAAAAGGGAGGGGAGATATGTAGCTAGTCTAGATGGTGAGGTGTGTAGGTATGATTTGATACAGTTTAGCACACCAAGTTTTACCAAACCCTACTTTTTCAAGTATATCTTTCCAGCAGTCAACTTGTACACATAGATTAGTATCACAGGAACCTGGTACCACTTCTGGACAGAGGTGTATGCTAATTTTCAGATGCACTGTAGATCTTTGGCTCCACAAAATATGCAACCAGAATTATACTACTCATCTAAAACACTGGGAGTTTGTTTTAGGAAAAATAACCAGGAGCAGACATACTTAAAAGCTGCATATGCACGTGTGTGTATTTTTTTCCTTCTTCTGTAAATTTCAGTGTTTAGGTAGGAAAAGAAAATATGTGTTTCTTTTTATTATTAAAGTTCTTTCAAAGTAGTGTTTCATCAAGCCACCAAGCTAATAAAGTCTGCTTTTGGAAATTACATTTTTTTAGCAAATAGTTCTAGTGACAACATATGGTGCAGTGTGGGGAGAATCAGAGAATCTGAAGTGAATCATGCAGTTTTAGACTCCAGCCAACTAGTTATCGAGTTGTTCAGCTGCCATGTAGGTCACCAAGTTGCTCAAGGCTAGGTTTGCAGCTCAGAGGTCAAGACTCAATGCATCGTCCTCCTCATCTGAGAGACTTCGTGACTGCAAAATAGATGAAGTAGTGACAGACACAAGAATGGGCTGGGACCCGAGGGACATCTAACTAAGTCTTATGGGGATGTTTATTTTCCCATGAATTTTGTTAGTGAAGGCTCTCTGTAATCTGTAGTCAGACAGTCTTATAGCAGCAGTAGGGTGAAGCGGCTGCAGCACAGCTGAAATAGAGAGGTTATGAAAAATAGCCTGAAGGGCCAGTGGCCACTGTCTGTTTCCATTTGCAAGAGAAAGAGGTGACCTGCTTGTGCAGGCTGCCTGATAAAGCACAGAACCAAGGTTTGAAGGAGGGCAGTGGGAAAAGTAGGTCTTCAATACTATTGGAAATGAGATTGGAGCAGCAAGAATATACCTTTTGGAGGTATTACTTCTCTTCTGAACGACATAATGGGTAAAAATCTCCAGTTTTGCTGACTTTGAGCAATGACTTAATGCAGCAATTTAGCCTTTTAGTAACGATGGCCTAGATCAAGTCTTGGTTTAACCCGTGCCACTTGCTCACACGTTAATTCAATATTTGCTTTACTCCTTGAGATGTTCAGGTCCAGCTGTGTACAACTGGAGATAAGTTGGGCTTGACTGAAGCCTTTTCTCTCATTTGGAGCTTGTTATTGAAAGTTCTATGAACTTTGCTGTCTGTGTGTTTATCTGTAGAAATATTGCATGACTGGGTCTTCTTGTGCCTCAGCACATGTGTAAAATTGTGTTGTAATGGGGCCTTTTTAATGACACAGGTTTTGCTTTGAATGAGCTTTCCTGTACAAAAATCTGTTTTGATATTCCCAAAAATATCATTTGGCTACAATACTGGTTTTTATTTTTTAATTGTATCTAAATAGTTATTTGATTGTTGCTGAAAAGAAAACACTTGAATTTCTATGTGTGTCCAGATTTTGAACAAGGAGAAGATGTTATTTTTAAAAACTGGTTTAGGAGTCAGGGAGAAAATATAGCAGAAAAAAGCTTTGATATACTCATGGTCTGTTCTCAGACCTTTCTTTTGCAGAATTTGAAATGAAGGTAATAAAA